CGCACCGCCGAGCCCTCCCCCGCCCTCTCCCCCTCCGCCCTCACCGCCGCCACCGAGCCAGCCGCCACCGTCACCCCCGCCCCCGTCGCCGCCACCTCCCTCACCGCCACCGCCCAGCCCGCCGCCGCCATCTCCCCCACCGCCCTCACCGCCACGCTGCCAGCGCAGCCGCCGGGCGACGCGACAGCGGCTAGCGGCCGGGAGAGCCTCTCCAGTGCGGGCTGGGGGCGGCGGCGGCACTCTGCGGGTGGCGGGCGAGCTGCTGGCTGGCCGGCGGCGCGTCTCGACTCAAATTATGGGCCGCCTCTCGGGCGTGCGGCCAGGGGCCCGTGTGGCGCGAGGAGAGGGCGGCGCGCTCGGCGCGCTGGCGGCGGTGAAGCCTCTCAGAGTGGGCGCTGGCTGGCCGAGGGCGTCGGGCGGGTGTGGGGCGGCACTCGGGCCGCCGGACGGGCCGTGGTGGCCCGTGTGGCGTTTGTGAGGGACTGTTTGGGCGCCCCGGCAGCCTCCCCGCCTGCGTGACCAGGGCCGGTTTGGCAGCGGTTTGGGCTGTGTGTGGGCTGGTCGCGGTAGGGGATATAGTGCTTGTTTATGGTCCCACTCACCACTCCCGGCCAACGGGGCCTCGCGGGGCGTCCTCGTTTGCAGTAAAAGGCCTCTGCCATCGCTCAGAGTCCCAAACCATGTGATCCTCCGCGCCGCCGCGCCCGAGTAGTCAAACTGCCAGATGCGACGTCGTCGGGGAGGCGTCGTCGCGGGCGCCAACGTGTCGTCATGCGAGCCCCTACGGCTGTCCAAGGGCACGTCTGGGTGACCAGGGGCGGGGGTCGAGCCGTGAGTGCTCCGCCGGGGCGAGCTTCTGGGTCCATGGGACCGCTGCCGGACCCATCCGAGAGCCTCTCCGGACACGTTCGCTCGACGGCCTAGTTGGCGGCCGATGTTCGACGACTAAAGCTCCGGACGCCGCGGCCAAAGGTCCGCCCACGGCCCCAGGGCTCGTGGTGGGTGTGGGGTGTGCCTCACGAGGCGGAGAGGCCGCGTGAACTCCCGTAGAAGCTCGCGAAGTGCGGATTTGGAGCGCCGCGCCGGACCTCCGCCGGTTGGGGCAAATGTAGATTTCCCGAAATATTTTGAGAAATATGATGGCCTTGTTCGGAAGGAGAAATTTCCGGAAATTTACCATACCTGTGTTGACGACCAACACTGCCGCGCGGGCCTGCCGGCTCAAGCAAGGCACGGCAGGCCCGCACGGTGCCTGGTCCAACATGGGGGACACCTTGTTTCCTTACACGGAAAGGGGCGAAACTTGAGCATGGAGTGAGAGAGAGATTTTTAGCAATACCAAACAACTCTAACACTCACACGTCATTTGGGGCCTGGAGCCCTGTTCACGCGCGCGCGAGACGTGCAGACAGGGTTGCCAGGTGAGAGCGAATGGCGCGGTTCACGCCTTTGTTGGAGTGACGGGGCGAAGAAATTTCTCGCAAATTTGCCGTGGCGGGGCACGAAATAAAGAGGAAAGAAATGAAAGAAATATCCTTACGCTGGGCAGGAAATCTACATTTGCCCCAATCCGCCGGGGCCCGCCGGGACGCCGTATGGGCCTCGGGGTGCCCGATAAGCTTAGAGGTGCGGTTTTTTTTGCTTGTGTCTATCGGTTCATGTCATGGACCGGCCCTGGGAAGCCTTTGACCGCGCGCGGAGGGTGTTACGGGGCCGTGATGATTTAGCGGGAGGGAAATCGGCCGATTTGCCCAGTGTGCACCCCTCGGCTCGTGTGGGTTCGAACCACCGCCGGGATAGAAGCTTCCTGCTTCCATCTGAGAGTCACAGCGCCGCATCACCTATATCAGAGCGCCGGGGACTGTGTGGGTGCCTGTGGCGCGTGCGGGGCAGGGGAGGGGAGGGCGGCAGGTTTTTTGTCTTTCTTTTCTTTTTTATCCGGGCAGAAGTCAAAGTAGCTCGTGGGTGTACAGAGCTGAACACGCATGACCCAAGCCCGCTACGACTGGCGCTGATCCCATCTGATCCGGTCCATTCCTCCACTCCGCGATCTCACCCGTTTCGTCTTCCTGCCTGCCCTCCCCTCCAGTTTTCCGTCACGCCCCCTCCCCTCTGAGGTCCCCCCATCCGGACCTTCCCGACCCCCCATCTCCCCAAACACCCCACCCTCCTCCCCACCCACCACACCCACCGCTTCCTCCTCAATCGGGTCCCTCCCCCTCTTCCTCCCCCGCTCCCCCGCCACGCCCCCCCTTTCTTCGTCCACGCCGCCCCCCCCGCCGCCTCCCCCTTTCCCATCCCGCGCCCCGGGCCCGGGCGCCTCCTCTCCGCACCCCGCACACAGCACCCCCCCATTCGCGGAGAGTACCCCGTCCTCTTCATGCAGCCCCGGGCTGTCCCGTCCATAAGCGTGCCGGAGGTAGAAGGTCGACAGCACCCCCATGCGGGCCGCCGTCTCTACCGAGTCGGCCCTGGGCCCCCGAGGACCCCTCGGCTTGCCCTTGTCGGAGCGCGGCTTCTTCTTGCTGGTGGCCTCGAGCCGTGCCGCGTCGGCCAGGATCCCCTTCCTCAGCAGATCGCCGTGGCAGGACTCAATCCTACCCGCGCATAGGAGCGCAAGATCCGTGCCGTCTCGAACCTTCTGTGCCAGTTCGCGAAGCGCAGCCGAGCTCTACATCCGCCGCGTGACGATGTGCCTCCGTTGTAGAGCGATGTAGAGGCGCTCCACAACGTGAAATCTCTACAACAAACTCTACATCATAAGCCGCGAACGAGGCACGGTCGCTCTCCGACATGAGGCGCGTTGCACTTGCCAGTGCTGCCCTGGCCTTCTGTCTGCCCGCCCAATGGGGGTGGCAGGTGCCTCTGCTGCTGTGGCATGCCTCACGGCTGCGACTGGCCGGCGCCTCGGCGCGTCAGCTCGGCTTGGCGCAGCGATCGTGGCCAGCGCAACTCGCTTGGACTCAACGCTCAGCCAGGAGCTCCCGCAAGCGCTGGCGCGAGTCATGGCGCAGACAACGCGTCTGAATGCTCGCCTCGCCTCGCGCAAATGCGACCGTCCTCGCAGCCGACAGTCCACCGCGTGCTAAACAAGCACAGCGATGAATGCGGCATCGGCGACGCATGGCAGGCTGGTCATGAGCGTACATGACGCAGTTATAGGGTGTTGTGTGCCATCAGAGTGACTCCCTGTGTGTCAGGGATAGTCAGGGCCGTCCACCAGAGCTCTAGTAAGCTAGGAGACACCCCATTAGTGCGACTCGACCTCTTTGAGTCACTGCCTTCCCGGCGGTTTGGCTGTAGAGCTACAGCTCCATTTCTTTTTTGCGATGGCCAAACACGCTGGCCCACGGCGTGGCGCGCGCGCGCTCCGTCCACGCCGCGCAATGGACACCTGTAGGTCTCCGCCGCCACCGCCCAGCGCCGCCGCGTCAGTGGCGACAAGAAGGTTGCCGGCAATGTCACCAAGCGCGGCCAGATCTCAAATCCGTCAGAGGAGGCGAGCGCTGGCGTCTGCCTCTGCGCACACGCACGTGTGTGTGGACACACTGCAGTCCCCGTCGCTCCCGCGCCGCTGCCTTTGCGACCTGCCCTCGCGGCGACCCTCGCGCGTGACCCGGCCGTCCTGCGCTCTGATCGCGCGCTCTGCGCCCTGCAGCGACGCAAGGACAAGCTCCCAGTGTCCAAGCTCCTGCTCGGCTTCTTCATGTTTGTGATCTTTGGGTCGACTCTGCTCCAGCTCATCAACAAGGTTGCGAAGTAAGGTGCGCGCCACCCCCGTCGCCAGAGATGCGCTTTCACATGCGCTTCACCTCCCTGCCGGCCTCACTTCCACTGTCTGGCACGGCTCCTCCCTTGCCTCCATCGAATCCCCGCCAGCCTTACCGCAGCAGCTACTCCTCTCTCGCTCAGCCGCGTCGCCCTCCCCGCAGATGGCCGAGCTTTCAACTTCCGCGTCAGGAGAGCGAGAGGAGCTCTGAGGAGGAGCTGGGGAGGCGGAGAGACGCGCAGGCTGGGCTCCGGAGTGAGACCGCAGAGTGGCCAGAGTTAGAGGTGTGTTGAAGTCTCTAGGTTTCTAGCAACATTTCCTGTCTCGATCACCGTAGCCGTGAGCTGACTTAGCTGCTCCCCCCCACAATGCACAAAGCCAAACGTGCACATCGTCAAACCACCAAGATTTGATTTTCGTTTTAAATTACCAAAATGACATGGTCGTGGAACTTGTTTTGCGTGTTCTTTTCGAGCCTGTGTGCTGTGAGAGAGTCAGTGCGAGCCAGTCCCGTGCCCAGTCCTGTGCCCAGTGTCGTGCGAGGGAGTTTGGTTGTAAAATTCTTTTGTTTGCAGCGAAGCTCCAAGCCCGACACTGGTCCGCTTGGCTGGCCAACGAGCACCCAGAGCCTCACTTTCCGAAAGCCATATGTTTAACGCATCCTCCCTTCGGCTTGGTCGCTGGGGCTCGATGACCGACCCCGGCTGGGCGGCCGAGATGAGCAAGCTCACCGTCGGCCTGACTGTGCTGCTCGTGGCCTATGCGGTGGCGCACAAGCAGCGCCTTAAACGGCGAACAAAAAAAGCTGCCTCCGTGGACCCTGACAAACTGTGGCCAAAGGTCCCGGGCATGGAGCGCGGCTCCGTGCTCACCGAGCAGGGTGTGCGCCTGGCGACTTTCCGATTTGACGCGCAGCACCCGAAAGCGGCCGCGATTCTGGTGCATGGCGTTGGCGTATCCTGCCGCTTTGAGTTTCTGCGCACGACGTGCGACGGCGGACTGCGGGACCGATACGAGGACTCTGCGCTTGACATCATGCGTAGGGCGGGCATCAGCATCCTGGGGTACGACCACCAGTCTCACGGCTCTAGTGAGAGCCTCGAGCCCGGCGTTCGCTGCTACATTGACCAGTTCGACGACCTGTGCCGCGATCTGCTCCTCGTGCACGAGACCTTTTGCGCCTCTCTCCCCGCGGGAACCCCCGTCTTTTGGGTCGGCATCTCCATGGGCGGCGGCGTCGCGGTGCGAGCTGCGCAGATGCTCGCCACGTCACGGCCCCCGCGGGGGCTGGTGCTCCTCGCCCCAATGATATCCCTCACCGCCATCCGCGATGAGTACTTCTGCCGGTGGCTCGGCCTCCGCAACGGCCACCTCGTGCCGCTGATGCACTCGCTCTCGCGCCTGGTGCCGAGGCTGCCCATCGTGGCTCGTGCAAAGAGCGCGGTGCACCCTCACATGGAGGCGGAGCTGCAGGCTGACCCGCTGAACTGGACGCGATCATTCCGTGTGCGCGTGAGCTGTGAGTTTGTCAAAGTGACCGAATCAATGATGGCGCGCGGCGGACCCGCTTCGCTCGAGAAGCTGCGCTGCGGCAAGACCGCTCCTCGCCCGCGCGCTCTCCATACGAGCCTCCCCTTCCACACACTGGGCTCCTGTCGCTCTAATAGGCAACCTCCTCGCCATCCACTCCAAGGCCGACACCTTCACAGAGCCAC